CCCGCTTCCTGAGACCATGCTCCACAGTGGAATGGCAGATAAAATTACCTAATAATTCAGGTTGGAAGTGACCTTCAGAGGCCATCTATTTTAACCCTTAGCTTCAAGCTGGGCTAACATCAGATTGCTCTAGGCCTCATCCCACTAGATCTTAAAAGTTTCCAGGTATGGGTATGCACAGTCTCTTTAAGCAACCTGTCCAATGCTTCACCCACCCTCCCTGGAAATATTTTTTTCCCTTACATCCAATTGGAATTTTATTTGTTGAAACTTGTGATGGGTGAATGAATGAATGGCTCCTGACGTTCTTATCTGTATCTAGATGTATTTATTTTGCAGGGAGGTAAAGACAAAGCATCACTGCTGGCCCTGCAAGCACTAGAGGTGCTGAAAGCTCAGGTACAACTGAAGCCTCTCACCTCAAGACAGACTTGACTCCTGCGACTCCTGGGGTACCCGACATTCTTGAGAGGCTCAAGCGTATTTGTTCTTTGGTGCTGATCGGGGTTCATCTGGGATCTGAGAAATCTCGCTCACCTGAACAGCTACTGAAACTGGCACTTTATACATGTAACAAAGTGATGTTTTCCACCAACAACAGCCCTGGTGAAAGATTCCAGGGCAGATGTAGTTAACTGTAGGTCCAGGTACACCTGCCAGCATCCCCATGCCAACAGTAGCGATCTCAGAATTCAAATTTCTACACTTTCAAATGCTTCTTTTACACATAAGAGGGAAAAGACATTCGCAAAAGAGAGGACTTGGCTATAAAACATTACTTTCTAGTGGGCAAGTATTCTAGTGGGCTTGCATTCAACCCACAGAAGGGATGCAAATAGCCTGACCAAGCAATTAGCCCCCTCTACCCTGAGGATGCCTGCTGTATCACAAGTGCCTTGTTTTCCAGAAGCACCTGAAAAAATACCATTGCTGATGAGCTTCACATTTAAGCATTGACTGCAACCAAAGTGGAAAGAAAAGTCTACCCAATATTGCACCAATTTAAGCATAACTTCTGAAGTTATACACTGTTTTCTTCCAAAAGAAGTCAGTTTGACTTTTGCTTTTACTTTTCAGATTTTATATGAAAAAATGTTGACTCTACTCAGGGAGCCATAGTTTATTCAATATAATTCCTAAGATATTAACTTGCATTAAAATTAAGGAATTCTAATAGTGACTTCATGTATTTTAACAAATTAACTTTAAAATTTAATTCCAATTAGTTTTGCAGAGGACTGAAATTCAGACAGCAACTATACAGAATTTTGTAACTTTAGAGTTATCTTCCCTTATCTGCTGATTCAGTGACATATCTCCATCTTAAAAATGTAAATGAGGAAATTAGATCTTATGACACCAATGAGAATTAACTGGTTGCTTTCTTTTCCTTTTGAATCAAGACTGTTGAATTCTCCCTTTTCCCAGCTTACCAACCCAATCTACTGAGTTACCATCCATCCTAATTGAAAATCTGTACAAACCTGGAGCCTGTAAAAACCCTAGATGCAAACCAAAACTACTTCACATTTCAAAAATAGATTAATTTTCTTTGGTAGTAAGAACTTCAAGGAGCAATAGCTTTATGCATTCTACCATCAATACCCTTCAGAAATACCCACCTCTTGGACACTGCCTGTCATCCTTCCACCCACACTTTCCTAGAAGCATCCCAGCTCCAGTTAGCTGGGCACCACTCCTAAATCACTTCTGAATCTACTTGTTTCTACTCTAAATCCTCCAGACATAAAGAAGTTGATATAGGATTTATTTTTTTAGGGACACATATTGCAATTACATGTGCTTTATCTTTGCTTCTTCAAGAAGTGTTAGAAAAATTTTAGTGGATGCTTATCTGCACATATATAACTGTCTTCAAAAGCTGCAAATCTGGAAAAACTGGTTGTACTTGCCTGTATTTTTTGTTGCTAAGAACCTTCCCTTTCTTAGTGAGGAAAGACTGCATTGAAAAAATAAAATAAAAACCAACCTTAGAGGTGGGGCTTGGACTCCCTAGCACATGCACACAGACTGACAATGCCAGATGAACTTTGTACGATTCGGTCAGGCTGCTTTCAAGCCTAAGATTTGACATCTCACCAGATCAGCTTCAGCTCTGGTTCACATGGACATGCCTCCGTCCCCTCAGGATAATCCACTGACAGAGATGGATTACAAATCTATAGGTTGGGAAAATGATCACCGATGGGTCAGATATCACACAAGTGTTCCTGCTCTGTTGGTGATACCGTGGCACGCAGCAGGCATCTGGGGGAATGCACGGGGCTGGGATTGCGGCTCACTATAGTTAGCTACGGCTGTGCGGGGTTCGGCGCCTCCTAACTGCAGGCTCCCCAGCAGCACTGTGGGTGTGAAGGAGGCAAGGCACAACGACTGCAAGCCCAGTTTCTGCCTCCAAGCATTCAGTCAGTGTTACTGGTTTCATCCCGTACCCAGAGCCTGCTCAAAGACGAACCCTCATCTTACTGGGAAAGGTTTACTCATTCAGAGACCCAAGAATGGCTCCCAGAACAGAAGGGGTGACACTTACACACCAGTGGCAAAGCACACAGAGCTCAGAATCCTAAGGAAACAGCTGAGGTAGCACAGTGGCTGTTTCAGACCCTCGCTTTACCCCCTCTGTACATTACATGCTCTCTTACAGGAATCATCCAGGGAAATCGCTTCTAAGAGATCTGAGAATCAGAGAGGCCATTGCTCTTCCATTCCTTCTGAAAAAAATCTGGTGCACAGGTTTATCCTTTCATATATAAGCAAGGACTCTCCCCTCCCTCCAGAGGATGAAAAATGATTTGCAGAGCACCTGCAAAACCTCTGCCCCAAGTTATTTGATAATGCTCATATTAATCAGAACAGTGAATCCACAGCTAAGCAGTACCTTGTCCTTGACTTGCACTGACATCCTTGTTTACTTAAACTTCTGCTGCTCTGCAAAGCTTTCTAGACTAGAGCTGTTGTTTGGTGTTTCCTCGGTATTGTTTTTGAAATGAGTGGTAAGATAACACCAACATGAAGTACTTCCTTGGTTTGCTGTACAGTAAAAACACTTGTGGAAAAAAAGGCATTTTGCTGCAAACATGTTGTTGCAAGAAACTGTAAAAAATAAATCCCTAAAACAGTAGTGGGGAAAGACAAATAAGGTTACAGATTTTATGAATAGGCACTAATAATATGTAGCAAATTTGCACTTGTTAGCCAGCTCCCTCTAGAACAAGACCAGCACTTTTTGGACAAGTCTTATTGAGAAAAATGGTCTGGGGTGAGTTTCTCAAAATAGTGTATAATAGATTTGGAAAAGGTTCTATTAAACACAAAAAAAAGTCAAAATAAATTTAAGATACAGTTTTTAAAAAAAGTAGCATTTTGTAGTATTTCCATACTGACATATAGTCACAACATGAATCTATAACAACATGTTTTGACAGTAACATTTTATTTGCTTATGTAAGCATATCTTAGAGACACCAGGTAAATTAATGTATTCCCATTAGATGCACTAAAGGTGTGCCCACATATTGGAAAAAGTAATCAAGTTTAAGCTTATTTAACGGTGCCTGCTAGCACTCACATTACAAAGGATTATGTTCTTTCAAAGCACTTACCAAAACCACTGAAAAACTTGTGAATACTTGCCTAAGGATCTGCCTATATATACACCCACCTCCCACCCTCAACCCAAATAAGAGCGTTCCCATTTTCTTGCCTGCACACCCAAGCAAGATAATAATTGTGCATTCTAATTCTCTGTGGTACAGCTACTTAAAGAAAGAGTCTGTGTGTATATGTGTCTGTGTGTATATATAATTATCTCAACAAGACATCTGTAAAATATGGTCACAGTTTACACCGTAATCAGTACCCCACTTTGGAAGTTACCAGTAATTTTTTACAAGTTCTCAGCAGAGAAATTCTACCTCTGCTGAAGTTTCTACCTTTAATTTCCGTTACCTTCAGTTTCAGCATAAAGATTGAGTACTAATACCTTCACACAATTTAATCTTGACTTTTCCTCCGTTTGTCAACTTTGGCTGCAGCAAATTTTTAACCAAAACATGAAAGAGGTTCTTTAAGTAGAATATATGCACATATCAAAATAAAATGTTGCCACCTGAAACATTGCCTATGTAGATCTAGAACATGGATAAATCAAATAGTATGTTACCAACTCTGTTTTCTCTGTCACTCTTTTCTCTATTTTACTTGGAAATATGAGTCATCTGATTCAATGTTATTTTATATAGAAGTTGAGGGGGGGGGGCAGGTAGCTGGAAAGAGAGGCAGAGAAAGCATTAGCTCCAATTCCTGACTCCAAATTGTTAACTGTTGGCATGTTTATCCCCATGTGCCCAGACATCTATTAATGCTGTCATGAAGAATGCTGCATAGATGTGTTTTTTATAACTACTCAATAATGGATTAAGAAAAAAAAAAAAAAGAAAAATAACAGTACCACTAACCGCCGATTAAGCGGTTCTTTTGATTACTTGCTGGTTATAGATTTGATTTTAAAACAAACAGTGTGTTGATATAAACATTTTGGAGGTTGTAGACAAGAACAACTTTTTCACCTCTGCAGAAAAGTAGCAGGAGTGGGGGTAGCATTCAGTTTATGAAAAGGTTGAACTCCCTGTTCAATATTCACTTATAATACCACATTACCAGAAAGGACTTGTTAACACAGGCTCCTTTTCTGTGCTGGTTTCATAACTTTCCATACTGCCTCCCACCATGAGGGAGGTTTTATTTTCTTTCAATTATTATAAGAAACCCTGAAGCCGTTTTGGAATTAATAGCCAAACTCGTGCAACTTCAGGCTTCAAATTAGTGACTTAATCTGCCTAAGTTTCAAGCGTCCAGCCTTTTCTTTTGAAGACAGTGAAAATAGTTTTAAATTTAGAATGCCAAATGTACAACTTCTTAAGGGTAAACATGTTAGGGTTAGCTGGTTTAGCTCCTTTCTCTTTCCAGCTATCAGCCCCCTTTCCCCCTGCTTTTCCACATTCATGCTTTTTTTCCTTTGCACACTTCTTTTTTTTTCATACAACTTATTTCAATAGTTACATCAGCCGCATTGTCATTAAATCTAAGTCTGGACACAAGTCAAAGAATAAAAAACAAACCAGATACTTCTCCCCCTCCAAAAGGAACAAAGTTTCTCAAAGGATTTAACTGTAAGACTTCCCAGAAAGTGAACATTTTTAGAACTGGCTCAAACCTATCAACCCTTACCAAACAGCAAGCTGTTAAAACTCTGTTCAAATGTCACGTGTGTGCAGGAGGAAGGGTAAACAACTGACTGCTGATTTCAGAGCCTTCTGAATTTTGCTTAGTGTTTTGAAATCTTTCAATTTCAAGCTACGGTATCACAGGCATTTTTTCTCCCAAGACCAAAATAAGATACTTAGTAAACTGACAAACATTCTCTTATTTGCACAGGGTAAGGCTCAAAGTGTGATAAAAGTACACTTTGGACTTTTAGAAGTAAATCCTCCCATTTAATATTTATTTTCTACCAAATGTTCCAATTTCCTTACTTTGTCCTCTCCATGAAATACATGTAGAGCAATAGATAGGTCCAGGTTAGGTAATCCCTTTCAGTAAAAAAGGGACAGATTCCCACCACCACGGTGCTCTCAAGTTTTTGACTTACTACGCTGTCAGTAGCTGGAGATAAGCGCTGTGAAAAAAATAGTGAACAAACATAATGGCCACCTTCGGGCAAGGGTGTGTAGGGCTGTTTCATCTCAGTAGTGGGAAATATTTCCTATCCTGGAAGAGATCATCAACATTTTTAGGGCATGAAACTAATTTTCAACAGACTGAAGTGTAAACTAATTTATGAGAAAGGCTTGTGAAGAACTGACATTTAAACCTAAAACCCCCCTGGTTTTGCCAAATCTCAAAGTCTCCCTTAGTTAACTTGTTGACAGAATACTTTCTGCCTTACTCAGAAACTCGATTCACCCAAGCTCTTTGAAAACCTGACAAATGGCATGATATTTCTCTAAAACTTTACATTTATTTAAAGCTTTACTTTAGGAAAAATTTGTACTGTAACGCATATTCATTATAGTCAAAGACTGCTCTTAGGATTTCCCTGATGTTTCTTTTACATGCAGAGATTCTGAAGAACCAGTGCAGGAATCAGCAAGTAAAACATCTGACCCGTTTTTCTCAATGGGTCATCGACAAGAATAAGCACAGCAAGCGTGAATAACGTTTCCAGTGACAAGCAGAAGCTACAAATACTTACTTTAAATACATATTCAAATGGTTTGAAGCCACTACCTGCAAGCCAAGGGAGAGCAGCTCACCTTGCATTTTGGACACTTCTGGGCATTCCTCTGCCCGTGTTCGATTTCGTTGGCCCAGTGACGCAACAGCTTGTCTCCCTTCTTGTATTCTTTGCAGTTAACGCCTTCATGCCAGGGAGAGTGGCACTTGAAACACCAGACAAATTGGCAAGATGGACACTGGATCTGTACAAATGAGAAAACACCACACACTTTTGCAAGCTGGGCACTGACCCAACTGGAAGGCCCATTTTAAAACCACTGCTCTTCAATTAAGAGAGCAGCTGCCCAGCAAAGTCTAACACCTTTTGAAATGTCTGTTTTAAAAAACAAGAAGTTGTGGAAGTTAACTTGTTCTTTTTCTTTTTAAAAGAAAGAAAGTACAGAACTAATTGCTAAGCCAGGAAAGGCCCCAGCCAAACAAAGCACAAGTAGCTTGGTTTAAGCATAGGAACTGCTTCCTGAATTCACCCTGTGGCCCAAATGCCAAAAGGCAAAATCCTGGAAGCTTATTCAGTTGCCTCCAATACATGTGTGAGATCACCTAAAAATTAGCAGCCAGTTTTCAGTCCAGTGGATCTGAGTCTTCTAGTTGTAAACTTCACTGCTAAGGCTACTACAAGGGAGTACCTGATCTTCTGAAGGGACTCTACAGAGCCCATAATGGGTTATGAAGCTTGTATTAGAAGCGATCCTGGGAAAAGAGGCCAAGAGCAAGGGTCTAAAACAAGGGCCACAACTACCACCTGGAAAAGTCAGGTACCTCCTTTTGCTCTCAATTGCATAAGGGCGAGCTGAAGCTCTGCCAAACAGACAGTTTGCTACAGACAACATCTAACAGCAAAAACCACAAGCCAGGCCCCTTAAATTGAGAAAGGATCTATTCTTCCCACTCCCTGGGTTTTAAATCATTGTGTCAAACAGGTACCATCATCATCACGTCTTCCTCCAGAGCCTGGCTATTTGTTTGAAAAAAGCTATGGCAGCCGCTGTGTTTGTAGAAGTAATAAATAGAGGCACACTGCAGGTGCTTAGCTGATGAAAGACAGGCCTCCTACCTGGATCGTGACTAAGGAAAGCGAGAACTAGAAGACACGTTAGACACAGGCACATCTAGGCTCCTGCAACATCTTCACTTCTGCTGTGTCTGGCAACAAAATGTCTCAGCCTGAAAGATGGGAAGGCACATCCCTTGGGTGACTGCTGTCTACCAGCTCCAGCTGCAGTCCATGCCGGGCACTGCCCCGGCTCTGTACCAGCTGATGGGCAGGACTGAGGAATTCAACCAGCCAAAAAAAGGCTTTTTGGTTGTATCTGCATCCAGACACGGTTCACCACCGAACCACGGATGTGTCTGTGCTGGCCATGCATGATGTGGGGGTGCTGCTCAGGAAACTACATCCTAGGGTGTAGTCACATGTGAAGCCCCCAAAACATATTTCCAAAGTCCTCATTCCCACCAGTTACCATGCCCTCTGCTCAGACACACCGACTGGTATGCTGCCTCAGCTCTAGTCCAAGTCCAAAGTAGGCTCTCTGATCTCCCTTAAGTATTTTGCTGGGGGGCAGCCAAAAATTATTTATATGTGCAATTCCTACATCCGTCACTACCAGCATGCCAATACAAAGCTGATCTGATCTCTGAGGCATGGCTGAGAAATGAAGCCGTCTGCTACCCTTAATAATATTTCCTAGAGTTCTATACACAGAGACAGCATTTAGTTTTTTGTCTTTAATGGCTCACATTAAAAGCCTAATTGATGCGATGGCTCAAGCTGAGCATTTTTATGACTCTAGCTGACCCATTTTTCAATGGTTGTCTTCAACTTCACCTGTAGAAAGCAAATTTTTTTTTTTTTTTTACACTGCAGCAGTGTCTAACAGTCATAGCTTCATTTGCACAGAGTGATGTATTAACCAAGTATTTTACCTTTAATGGTGGACTATATGATATGCTGCTCAATGCACCACTCCAGCTTACCTCCTTATGCAAATCCACATCTACACATCAGCAAATGCAAGAATGGGAGTTAATGATCAAGAGAATTAATAATTTTCTCACTACCCATAAGACAACATTTTCCCCTCCAGGATCCTTTGACTGGGCATAAGACTGAAGTGCAAAGAAGGGAAGCAGCATCAAGAAGTTGACTGATTTTCTTCTTATTACAACACATTAACATTTTAGTCAGTTACCACCCACTAGTCATTATCCTTGTAAAAAAAAATATTGTACATGCATTTAAGTATTAGAATACATACATTTCCTTCATATCAAGCAGACTCAAAGACAGTGTAATATTAAAATTGAAGAAATTTAGATACCCTGTACCCAGTACAAATCTGGCTTGCTGCTTTCTATAGCTACAAAGTGACATTTTGGCTAAGGCACACAGTAAGATACCTCACACAGAAGAAAACTGCACTTATCACTTGCTTTCTGTCAGTGAAATAAGTTACTGAAGACACAGGTAGGCAGCACAAAACCAGAAAAGAACAAGTGGAACTTTTTTTGTAGGAAAACAAGACATTAAAGCTGCAATGTGTGGATTACAAACATTATTGCTTTTTGCACAAAAATACAGTAATGTCTAAGGCCAAGATAAAGCATAAAACAAAAGCAATACAAAATATAACTGGTGCCCTTTCTCTGATTTGTTGGTCTACTGGCCCAGATGCTAAACCAAAGGAAATACACTATCCTGCATCTCTGCTTCCCAGATGAACTCTCCTAATAAAACCAGCTTAATAGGAAAGAGGAAAATTCCCACTCTGAAAAACAACGTATTTATTGCTACTAACCAAACTAACATAGAGCACTGATCTATGTTTCCACAATCCTTTAGAAACCTATATGCACAAAACAGATTAGATTACTAGCAACTATCCTGCCCAGTATCTCTTTCTATTTTTTTTTCCCTTTCTTGTTTTTTTTTCCCCTCCAAGCTTTGAATTTAAGTTTTTCAATAATGCATGTCACAGTGACCTACTGCTGGAAGACAGATTATAGCAGGCATCATATTGTCTTACTCAGTATCTGTTATGCTCCAGCCAAGGATGAAGCTCGTAACCACAATTAAGTGAATTAAGTGTTCTGCGACCTGAAAGCTTTTATCAGTTGCAGTATTCAGACACTTGAGATGGAACATGAATGTTAAAAACAAAAACAAACAAAAAAAAACGCCAACAAAACCAAAAATCCCCAAACCGACAGATCTGGGAAGCTGCAACTTAAAGCTTTACTTAAACAAAATGCCAACATAATTATAAATATGCGCTTTGTGGGTTTGGTTTTGGGGTAGGGTTTTTTCGGTGAAAGTCTGACATGAATTCATTGCAGGCTCTATCTTTCTCTTATAGCATGTATATAATTGCAAGAAATACAGAAGCCACCAGAATCTATATTTAATCTTATACATGCACACTGACATCAGATGTTTCTAAATATGTTACTCAGGAAGGACCAAAATACAAGATGAGGCTATAACCGCATGAACTCAGAATAACATTTGTTACTATGAATGGCCCTGACTAACTGAAGTAAACTAGTGGGAACTGTCTACTTCATTACCAGGTTCGGAGTTCCTAGCTTCCTCTTCCACCTGCCACCCCTGACAGCACCTTCCACAAAACTGAACTAGTAAATAGTTTTCACATTTCGAATGGCCCACTTATGGCCCACTTGACTTCTCTGGTGTGCAATACTGTCTGAACATACATTAAGCAGGCAAAGAAAAGTATGTTCTTTTAAGTACTTATGAACCTTATTTTTCTTGGAACTAGTGGCCGCAAAACAAAACCCTAAACCTATTCAAACTTGGATGCAGTGTGACACCAGCATGCTTAAGAGATAGGAACACAACAGGGCAATTACAGCAGTATTTCAGATTCTTATTCCATTCTTTCTCTGCTTTTCCAAAACAAAAAAGTCAAGTATGATTTGCTTTATGCTTCAGTATTAGTGTGTGAAATCATTATAACAAGGACACAGAAATGCTATCTACATATAATTTAAAGCAGTAAAATATATTATAGTCCAGCAAAGCAGACAAACTATATCTGAAAAAACCCAAAACATTAATCTAGTAGTTTTTCAAGTATGTTTTTCCTCACACAAACATTGTTCCATTTATTTTACGACTTCCATTTCAGTCGATCAGAATCAAGAGGATGGATATATACACAAACTTCTATGCCATCTCAAGGTCAGTCTCCCTTGAAATAGAAAAGATTACACAGCTTCTCATACTAACCTTTTTGGTTCTCAGCTTTCTGAAACACTGACCTTTGAGGCTAACATTTTCCATTTTCTTAGCTAGCCTCTACTGCAAACTATTCTAACTATCATTTTCCTCACCTCCCAGGAAAAGACCTTTCAAAATTGGTAGCTAACAGCAACACAAAACACTGCTCAATGTGAGATGACAATAGCAAAACTGACTGCACATGAAAAATATTCTGAGAGCCTGAAGCTGCAAAAAGCTTAGTGGGATTTTCTGCTGCTTAGTGGAATGTTACCTATATAATAGGATGGCCAAACTAATTGTGCAACTGATTACATGAATTAGAGCTACACAGTCGCTTTATTCCAAAATAAATGTGGGCTCCTGCCAAAACAGCTGCCTCCTCCTTGTCACCAACCCATCCCCTCTCTTGTACCAGCTGAAAATAAGCAACAACAAAACAAACAAATCTTGTATCCCATTGGAGCTGATCTTTGATCCAGCTCCCAGTGTGACACCAAAACATCAACATGAGCAAAAGCAAGCTGGCAGGAATGAACAGCTGAGAGCAAAGAGGGAGAGCACGGCAAAATCACCACGTCCGCAGCAGTTCAGGCTCACGACAGGCTGAAGTGATGTGTAGCCATAAAGATAGCTGCTACTCAAGGTTAAAATCTGATCTAGAAAGGGGGGAACTGACTGGTAGGAACTACACAGATGCACTCTATCACAGCATCTTTGCAGGTACAGATTCCTACTAGTTCTAGAGCAACTTGTGTAGTTCAAACAAAAGATAGTTTATATAACAACTGCATTGAGAAAACATTTACATTTTGCAAAGCCAAGCACTCTAGCTCTTCTTTTATGTGTTGTGTATCTGCTGACAGAAGTGAACAAGAAAACTTTGTTATGAACCTCACAAGTCGGTAAGGCAGAAATAGAGTCCAGGAATCAAGAACTGCTTCTTCATGGCACATGACAGGTCAAAGAACTAACACTAAAACAACAGATGAAATCCAGAGCTTAGGAGAAACCCCCCCCCCCACACCCCCCACCAAAAAAACCACAAAAC